AAAAAGGGAAAAGTTCTGGGCAAATTGGTTTCCTCATGCATAAATGAGGCAGTGCACACACAGGTACTCAGGCCTGGGAAATACAGGACAGAAACATAGACGTATTTTCCCAGCCCACAGATCAGGTATCCATTACAACTGGATTAGCTGGAGGTAGAGCAGGACTTGAACTTATGCCTTAGAAAGCACCGGGCTCCAGAATCCCTATGAATTTGCCATGGGACCCACAGGTCCATTTAAATAAACTATTCCATAGATTGACATTATACTTCAAAGATTGATAAAGTACTCTTATTTTGAAAGAATGAGAGTCCAAAGAAAAAATACCGAGTTTTGTCTTTGAAAAACAGAATTGCTTTTAGCAGAAAGCTTTCTCTTAATTCATCAGAGAAATACCTCTCTTACCAAAATAATCATCAGTTGCTTCAAAATTTTTTTGGTGTACCTCCAGGGAAAGTGATATTATCCTACAGAAGATGAACATGGCTGATTTCAGAGGTGCTAACAGGCAACACTGTCCACGTGGCTGCTGTTCTTTACCAAGACTTTGCTTCAGGCTCGAAAACCGCAACCTTCTCAGGGCTGCTGACCCATTTTGACTTCTCCATGGTATGTAGGAACACAGTGGTGTTCAGGCAGCCAGTTTCAGGATCAAAAATTCAATATATACAGCCATGAAAAATTCCACATTTTTATGAGCTATTACTATGTTAAAATAAATTAAAGGACAAATTTGGAAACCAGAACTTTTTGGAATTTATGAGAAAGAGAGACAAATACTGAAAACACTTGGCTTATTCGTGCTCCCACAGAAGTCACTCAGAGTTTCACCACTGGCTTCCCCAGGAGCAGAAATTATCCCTTAGAGAATATGTGGAAAAGAATCAAAAGCAAACGCTAGCTCATAGTGAGACATTCCATCAATCCAACATGTCACTCCACTTAATAACCATTTAAACATTAATCAATACCTGAGCTTTATCTCCTGTAAAAATGAGTTACTAGAATAGTAACAATGCAGATCATTATTTCATTTCACTTCTGTGTTTCTTTTTTTATTGTTGTTTTTATAACTTTGCAACAAAGGTATGCACAAAAATATGAAACAAGGGCAGCCTAAACAATTCCTAGTCTATTGTAAAACTGCAAATTCTCAATTAACCCTGAAACAATTTAAGAAGATTCAACACTTCTAAAGTAATGAGAATTTAAAATGGATTGTATTATCTTCCCTGATTGCTCTACAAAGCACTGTTGGCTGTGCAAATAAAAAACTGAATCGTATAACCTGTGATTTGGCACAGGATATTGTAAAAGTAGTACTTTGTCTTTCCCACCACATTTTTTACTTATTGTAAGAGTATATTGCAGTACAGTTAAGTTGATTGTTCTTTGTCATTTTTTGAGGGCTCTGCTAGCAAAAGGTTTAGAATAGACTCATTAAGAAAAGCACTATAAAAAACCAGAAGTATAGAATCCAAAGTTTCACTTCCTACATTTGACTTTAGTGGGATCTGCTGACTGCACAGCAGTTTTGAAAATCAGACCATTTTTTTAGGTGGTTAAACATGAACTTATGTGCCTGCGTGTACCTACTCAGTTTTGAAAATCATAAGCACATTGATACGCCTGTATGGACGTATACAGAACTATGTTCTCTGGTGTGCCAATTACTGTTTATTCTGGACTTATTCTCCATTGCACTAGTGAAATTTAGTGCTGCTTTGTGGGGTTTCTTTATTTTGTTGGGGTTTTTTTGAACCATGCCAACAGGTTACAGTTCCCGAGGGCTTACATGACAACAGGGCACGGGCAAGTGGGTGTAACCTATTTTGATTGTGACCTCCTTGCACCAGGTTCATGTTCTTGCACTATCTATAAGACAAGTATTGCAAAGGAAGTAGAAGAACAATTCCCTTAGACTGGAAATCATCTGCTGCAAAGTTTAAGTATACACCTTAAATATAGACCTACAAACAGATGCAGAGAGGCTGCAGATGCAGAACAAAAGAACACAAATCAAAATATGCACTTGGCCTATTTGGTGCAGAACTAAAATAAAGTAGCAAATATATGGAAATTTAAAATTTATAAATGGCATCTTCCCCTTCCTGTAACACAGGAAAATAATTCAGAGAACACCTCCTGGGGTTGCTAGCAGACACGCATGGTGCCGGTGGCTGGCAGCTTGATTATCACAGAAGATCATTACACAGAACAGTGGTGATAACATGGACACAGAAATCTAATCAGAGCCACAACAAGAATTTCACAGCCGACAGTGCAATAGCCCAGGGTGTCATAGGAGAGCAGCCAGGCATCTAGGCAGAGAGTCAGATGCTGCTCTTGGCAAGGACTTCCAGAGCTTGGTAGTTGCCAGACTTTTCCCGTGTGGAGTCGAGGGGTCTTGGCTCTTATGCTTTAACAGAAAGAGAAGGAAGGCAAAATGAATCAGTGCCAAGTCTTGCTGAATGACACATCTGTGCCAGTTTGATGAGCGGCATTGACAGGAGTTAAGCTGAGCGATTCAGATAGGCTTGTCAGGGTGGTGGTTTTCAGCCTTGCGCATCTGGAGACTGCTCAAGTCACGTTGCACAGAGACTGTAAGACCAGAAAGACGCAACAGAGAAGTGGCATTGGCCCCATAAAATATCTGTCTGATTCTGCAATTAGGCTTTGCGTAACAGGGCGAGAGACTGTAGGCAACAAGTTGACACTGCGGTGGACTAGTGAGCAAGGCTGGTCTGGCTGAATTAGGACTTGGAGAATTGGACTTTGAGTCCCACCTCTGTCACAATGGAATTAGGGAAGCCCTTTAATTCATACTATGCCCCCAACTCAGCTTTAAAATGGTGAGAATGTATTTCTGCCCTGAAAAGCTGTTAAAAGGATAAAATCTGTAAATCATTGCAAAATGACTGAGAATGTATAGCAATGAGGGACATCAAAAGTACTGAGA